GACGGCCGATAAAACGTTTCGCCCCGTCGCCGAGTGTCTTACAACCGACCCGAAATAATCTTCCACGATCATCGCTTTTATCGCCGCCTTGTATACTAATTTTATACCCTTTTTACGCCTCCGTGGAAGGCGCGTACCGAAGCGCGCCCACCCCCGCGAGCACTGCAGAATTGTCTTCTACGCTCGGTTAAGGGACTTCTGAAATTCAGAAGCGAAATCAATCTTGGCGCCCTCGCCGCGTCACGTGGTCAGAGATTTTAAGACGGCTGTGCTTTTCATTTAATCCGAGGAGGTGCTTGCTCCTCGATTATAGACAATGAAAATTTGTCAGATATAGCGTTACGTAAAACTACTACGATTTAGGCGTGCCAGTGTTTTGTTTGTGTCGAGCGTGACGAAAAAGACAGTCGCCGACGGGACGTGAACACGCGTTGCCGGAGGAAGCCAGCTTACGTCATTCTGTGGACACCTGCACATGGCTGTAAGTGGACTTCGAGTGTTCTAAAACCCAGCGAAAAGTAATGTACAATTTTCAACGATTTTTAAGTTAAAGATTCGCGTATTTCAAGAGAGAATTAGATATTGTAATTAATGTAATAGTATATAGTATATTAGTGTATATTATAATAGTATATTAATAATAGTATATTATAATAATATAATATAATATAATTAATATAATAATATTGTAATCAAGTTAAAAATAATATATGTAAATTATTGTAGAACGCAAGGCTCGAATAATCGTATCTTCTCTTCCCAAATTGTCCATTTTTGTGTGCAAGCTGAGCGACGATTAGGGAGAATTTACTGTAATACGAGTCGCCTTTTTCTGACAGCATGTGTTCACGTTCCGTCGGCAGCCGTCTTCTTGGTCACGCTTAATACCAAACTGTAACGCCGGGGCCTCTAAATCACAGTGTGGTTCACTCGAGTGTTAGTGAAAATGGAAACTTGTGCTCCACGATCAAGCGATCAAAATATTATTGGAACAAGTGCAAACGTATTTGCGACATTGAAGTCGCAGAATAGAATGGGCGTCTGAGAAAGAAGTGGAGCATCTTCTTGCACTTGGACGGGCCAACTAAAACGGAGATCTGTACTGTGTTCGGCGGTTATTGTTAAGCTGTTGCAGCAGAACTTTAATCAACGAATCCGAGAACTTTAATCAGAATTTGGTTACGTGCCAGGACGTGGAATCTTGCTAACGAAACAGCTCGTTTATCGCGGATAGCGTTTAAGCGATTAAACAACCATTCGTGAATATACAAAAAAAACGTTTAATCGAATAACGGGAGACTCGTCTCTGTTCCATCGACTGTTCCCCTCGACGTGAATTAAAGAATCGTGACCAACGGCTCGCGTTCGTTCACTTTCCGCCGCGTTTCGTCCGCCGACGGCGTTTCGCGCGCCGCGTTCTCCCTCATATTTGTCACATCAGATCATCGATTGCGGTTTATTAGAAAACGCGGCGTCTCGAACGCCTCGTTTTCTTCGTCATTTGTCACAAGCGATTATCGATCGCGGTATACGAAGACGAAAAAAAAAAGAACGGCCGGTGTAGTCACGGCCTTAATGACGACGGCGACGTTGACGACCGTCGGCACCGGAGACGTTTGTTTATTTCCAAGCTGGATGCATCGTGCACGATGCACCACCGCGACATCGTCGGATGGTCTCCCGTCCAATGCCATAGGAGGCTATACGGGCACGAGAATGTTGGTAAATGTGTGCGAGCATGTGTGTAATGGAACGACGACGCGGTCGGTGCGTTGCGTGTTTTGTTTGCGCGTTTCTTTTGTCGCGTGTATGTCCAGCTGCGCGTCGAGACCGTGGCTGGGCTCATGCAAATGAACCGCACAATGTACCTCAATAGCATCCGCGTATTTATATATGCTATCCGGTTCATTATTTTCCATCGCCACTGTTTATTTCTGCCTTACGCCGTCCCGCGCCGCGCCGCGCCGCTCCGGCCCGCTCCGGGCCGCTCCGCGGAGCGCCGTTTTTCGCGGCGGGGACAGAAACGCCGGAGACCGTCGCGTCGATCGTCCGTGACAACGGTCGCCGATGATATTACCGTGAAATAATTATCCGGCGAAATCACTCCGCGCGTCAACTTTATACATATTATATTAACACCGGCGATAAACAGGGAGGGGGCGGCAGGGGGGACGTCTCTCTTTTCTTCTCCCCGTCGACCTCCTTTTAATCGCGTCGCCGTGATATCGTAAAGCGTTCTCGCTTGGCAATCGACGAAGAAACAGATACAGCGAGCAATAATTAACAAGTCCGTGCGGGGCAAACGAGAGTCATTAGCGGGCGACGAAAATTTATGCATTTACAACGCGAGCCGACCGGCGCGGCGCATCGGGCTAAAAATGTATCGAACAGCTTCACGCTGTACAAACCTCGGCACAATAAAACGCTTAGCGGTGAAAACGCAATTCCGCCTAATTTTCGGATCCATAAATCAGCGTCTATAATTGTTAAGTTGTATAAACGTCCGCAGCTGACTCATCGGCCAATGAAACTGGCCGCGGGATCGCGTCCATTACTGTTTATAGTCGCGCAGACAGTACCGAACCGGGGCCTGTAACGTGAAAGTCTCCGGCGTCGAATATTTATAACGCGAGAGAGTGAGAGAGAGAGAGAGAGAGAGAGAGAGATCGTGGAATATCTAAACCCGGATTCATCGGAATTCATAATGGATCCCGCGGCTTTTTTCTTCCCTCCGCAATCCCGATGCAATCGATATTGGCTAAGAGGCATTCGTATCTTCTCCGATCTTCTGGGAAAATAGCCTCGAAGTGTGCGTGCAACGGCGGCAGAGCGAGCGGCGATTATATCTGCCGACCCGGGACGATATTATGCAGAGATCCATGATTCATACTCTATTTGCTCGATCCCGATCTATTCTTTCGTTCTAACGCGATTAGGAGTCGCATTCCTGTCCGCCGATTAACGGATCGCCGCCGCCGCCATCGCCGCCGCCACCGCTAATTATAACCCCGAATTTGGTCACGCTTCAAGTCACCCTTTTCCCTTTCCTTGCCCTCGACCGGCCTACGGTTCCTCCGCCCACGCAGAAACCCACGAAAGCTGGAGCAAGTTTGCGCGTCTTACCTCTGGCAAGGTTTGCGCAATAGGTCGGGGATAGAAATTTCGGCTAATTATACCGCGGCGAAGCGATTTGATTAAATCGGCACAGCTGCATTATTGGGAGCGGCCAAATTCTGCTCGGCGCATTCGACAGATCCGTTCGGATACTCCATATTTTACGGGGCCGTTGCATCATCGGGGATGCGACTCGAGAAAAATCCGGTGTCGTCCGGAATTTGTGCAATTAACGTTTAGAATCTCGACGCGGTCCTGAAGGATCGCTTGAGAGCTTAGAAGCTTCGAACTCCTAAAAAGCGATCTCCTAAAAGATCACTGGTATTCGAGGCACTGGTATTCGTATTGTTCATTAAAAACGCGGGTACAGTTGCTTTTGGAGGAAAATTTGCGTGAAAATGGATGCATCTAAAGGGGGATGATCAGTAAACTGCAATCAGATGCGACGAGAAAATGATCGCAAGTTCTAACAAGTCTCGACGAGGTCGATAAAACGCGACAGAAAATTTACAAACAATTGCAGCTATAATTTCGCGAGCTTCCAAGGGTAGCTTTATAAAATTGGGCGGGATGGAAGGGGTGGTGGTCCGAGACCGGGGTAAGACGGGGTCGAGGATCGAGTCAGGTGCCGTGCAAACGAATATTAATATAATCGCGGCAACCAGAAATCCACGACGAGGTAAAGAATGATATAATAGCCGGGCCCGTAAGGGATGCGTCTGCGACCGAGAGGGCGAGTCGCTCGAAGACGAAGTGTTCTCATTATACCGGGTGATTTATGCGCGTGCCACCTTGCCGTCGCGCCGGGAGGTTCTAGGTTAGAAATAAAGTTAAAAGAAAAATAAGGCTTACGGGGTGCAAAGTCGAGAAAGGGGGGCGCGCGGGGCTGCCGGGGCCGAATATATTACAAAAATAAGCCCGTTGCCGCGCGAACGAGCGCCGAAAAAACTTTTAAACCGCGTCCCGAGAGATCGATGACTGTTTTCTTCGGGGTGGACCACCGCCGGGGAAAAGTAACCGCGTGAGCAGCGAATATTTTACCGGGGAGCTCTCCGTTAACGGGTCATTAGGCGCGTTAGCCTTCGATAATTGTTGCCCGGTGCATTCGGGTCAGGTGCCGTTCGCCCCCTTTGCGCCCTTCATTCTTGAGAGAAGTTGCAGTGCCCGGCTCGGGTTAACGACCGAATCCAAGACAGGCTCCACGATCGTTTTTCGCGCGTCTTCCTTGCCCTATGATTTCTTTCGCGGCGTCGACCCTTTACACCGCGACGATGATTCGTCTCCGACGTACGAAGACCTTTGTCACGGTACAAACATATTTTCTTCATTCTGTGCGATTCCTTCTTTGGTTCCCTTTAGGGGGAATTTGCGGAATTATGTACGCTGTGAATTATATTGAAATTGCCGAAATTAAAATTGTTTTCATTTATGGAAGAAAGAATATAAGAGTGCCGATAGTGTGATACGAATCGATGCACATAATATTAAACGCACATAATACTGCACTACGCTAAAAGAAAAATTAAAATATCGTCCTTTGTCCATTGATTCAAACAAAATCAGTGTAATACATTGCACTTGTACTCTTAGCGATTCATTAAATACAAATCTCAGTAACATAAAAATTGCACCGAAATAAGATAAGCTGTTTTTTAACGTCACTTCACGATCTACGTTCGATTGCGAAGTATTAAAATTTCCGTGATCTCAAAGCTTGCTACAAAAAAAAAAGAAATTCCATATATTATAAGTGTAAATGTACGATTTTTCGAGAATGTCAGAAATGTGGAGGAGTACATACCTCGTAAAATGACATCTCGGCGAAGAGTAAGTAAACGATCGCGGAGCCGCAGGACTGTGATGTTGACGGTGACTTATGGTTGCAGGGACACATCGGTGAGAACCCGTTCGACAACAGTTCCTGGGGAAAGGAGCAGTTTCAACCCTCCGCGGTTCCTTGGCAGCTGAACCCGCGCGGCCACGCTCGTCCCAATGTGAGTATACACAGATCCGCAGCCGCGTGCATGCGTGTGCGTGTACAGGACGGTGTTCCGCGTTTAGTCCATTCTCTGTCCGAGCGTGCAAAAAATAAATGAGAAAAGAGAGAAAAGAAGCTCGGAGGGGAGGAGGAAGCGGAATTGTAAAGGAACGCGCGAGGCAAAGCGTGCTCGCGCGCGTGCTTGAGGGAGCGAGCGCGCAGGGAGAGAGAGAAAGAGAGAGAGCGAGAGAGAGAGAGGCGGCCGGGTGCTCGGGAATCGTCGGAGAAAGAAGGAATATAACGCGCAGTCAGAGTCCTGTCGGACACAAGGGCTCGGTGTCTGAAATTTGTAATTCCGGCTGGATAAGAATACTATCCCTCGGCTCGGAGGGTGAGTAACGACCGCGGAAAAAGAAATCCGGCCACTCATTGTGTCCGCAGGTAGCAAAAATGCTGGGGGCATCGCTTCCTCCGAGCATTTTCTCTCAGGAGTCGACACGGCCACCGGTGCGGTGTCGTCCTCGGCCAGAGAGAAAGAGAGAGAGAGAGAGAGTCACCCCTTCCTTCTTCTCGTCCCGCTTGAAAACCAACCCTCCTCTTCTCCAACGCTGCCCACACCCCCGCGCCAACGGGCCCGACTCGTCCTGTCACCCGGTATTTATAATACGCTTTGTTTTCCCTCGGCTATTTGTCTTGGGCTCTCGGTTCCTTCGCTAACGTTATTATCTCGCGTTTTATTTTTATTTAATTCCAGCCCCGCGCTCCTAACCCTCCCCTAACACTCTTTCTCGTTCTCTTTCTCTTTTCGGAGCAAACCACTCGGCCGACGCCCGGCGCCGCCGTTACTTATCCGTCCGGACCCTTAACGAGCGAAACGTGTCCTACGGTTTAAGGAAAACTTTGCGCCGGGGACAAGCTCTCTTTTTTTCGATTCGCCCCCTTCTGGCGATTAATAAGAGCGCGGGAATTAGCCGCGACGTCGGTGCTCCATCCATGGCGATCCTGATTCGCGCCGGTTCGAGCTGTCGGTCTCGCGAAATACCGATCATTCTTGCGATCTTCGGGCAAAATGAAATTTCTGTTCCTGGGAATCCTTCGCTGAATTTTTAGTTAAAGTATAAACCGCTCTGTCGGCACTGCGATTCACTGTTTCAATTCTTTCCTAAGGAACGGTTCTCAGGAGTATATTTCAGTCATTGCGCAGTAAAGTAGGTGCAATTAAAGAAGTACAACAGCCTGTCGGAATCGAAGCATCGCTCAAAAAAGTTTAATAATTGCAGTATCGATGAACTCTCTCTCCTTCTCTCTCTTTCTCTTTCTCCGTCTCTCTTTCTCTCGACAATCCCAAAGAATCCGCAAGAGAACCCGCAGCATCACGGTGGTTCCGAACGGAAAAACCGTGAGTGGAATTAGCGTAGAAAAAAATGGGGCACCGCGGAAGCAGGGACGCGGAGTCGTTTAAAAGCGTAACCATTCGCCGGTTAGGCGAACTTACAGGCGTTCGACATCTCTCGGCGAGCACATCTCACGTAACGTTTCCCGGTGCTATTTATCAAACGCTTCTCAAGAAGCACGCGAGCCGCTATCGGCGGCCGGCTGAGTTTACACAAAAGAACGCGATCGACGCGGTCGCGTTCGAACGGCTTTATTTGTTCGCTGGGCTTACGGTCTCCCCGCCGGCCAATCAGATACACGCGCGTACGTATCGTCTCGTCTCTATGTGTGCGTGTGTGTGTATATGTGTGTTGCTCGCGAAAAGAATGCCGCGTTTCGAGCGTGTGCGCCGGGACGCCCGTGACGCAAACGTTGTATTGCGGCGCAAGTAATGCGCGTGCTGGTACGGTTAAATAAACGGGGAATGACGTGCAATCTAAATTACACGCGATAGGAAACAACGGGGCGAGCGTTACACGCAATTTCCAAGACGTTTAACGTAACAACGTCGGCGTATTTCACCGGGCCGAGTTTACACCGCCGACGATCGTCCGCGCCGCGAGAGCAACATCCGCGTTCGCGGGCCCCGAAGGAATCGACGACGCCTTCGATTTCTTTTATCGCACCGCGGTCTTATTACGCCGCGACGGCTTCATTCACCGTTCCGCGGACGACGTGCTCTCGCGCGGCTCTTGTTCCGCGAGGATCGCGTACGCCGGGGAAAAATATTCTAAATAACGTTTATCTCGCGGCGTTTACGTGCGATAGGGTAAGCGAAGCCGGTGCCGCCCACGCACGTAGCCAGCCCGCCCCGGGAAAAAAAGCATTCGTGCCACTTCGCACGTATGTACGTGTGTATCAAGCCTGTTTATTGAAATCGTTTCGTCGCGGCGTGTCAGTGCGGCCGAGCAAGAAACACACGCGTGTCGCTGCACGTTGCACGCAACCTACGGAAACTGCATCGCCGCCGCGGCTCTCCCCTGTCCCCGCCGCCGCGGCGATCCACGGATACGCGGCAATTTATTCCGTGTGCCGTTGTTCCCCCGCGCGCGATGTAACAGGATCTATTCGACCGCGGATCTTCCGGCAGAGCCGTGGCGAGACCTTTCGATCGCGATCCGCAGCCAAATCGGCGATTTCGAGGGTTCTTACACGGAACCGCGGATTTTTTGTGCAAGATAAATAATCGTCCGATCACCGATGTGCAAACGCTACTACATATATTGATCTCGTTCCTTATTTTTTAAGGAATAAGAAATAAAATATAACAGTATCCTTCAGTGATTCTGTTAACGAATTCACCGTTTCGAATTTGATCTATAATAATGTCTCCCTTACTGACGCCCAAATTGCGCACAAAAATGGATAATTTGGGAAGAGGAGATACGATTATTCGAGCCTTGCGGCTCGTTTTTATATACACTGGCACCCCAATCTATCAGGAAATCCATCCTACTAGTCTCAGTAACTGGTCCAAAATTTTGCTATCGATCTAGGTGGACCAGTTACCGAGTGAAAAAAATTCATTTTAGTGTTCTGTAGAGATGAAGTTATGACATGCCTTCAGACTCCCAAAAATCCGGAAAATGAATTCNAAGAAACACACGCGTGTCGCTGCACGTTGCACGCAACCTACGGAAACTGCATCGCCGCCGCGGCTCTCCCCTGTCCCCGCCGCCGCGGCGATCCACGGATACGCGGCAATTTATTCCGTGTGCCGTTGTTCCCCCGCGCGCGATGTAACAGGATCTATTCGACCGCGGATCTTCCGGCAGAGCCGTGGCGAGACCTTTCGATCGCGATCCGCAGCCAAATCGGCGATTTCGAGGGTTCTTACACGGAACCGCGGATTTTTTGTGCAAGATAAATAATCGTCCGATCACCGATGTGCAAACGCTACTACATATATTGATCTCGTTCCTTATTTTTTAAGGAATAAGAAATAAAATATAACAGTATCCTTCAGTGATTCTGTTAACGAATTCACCGTTTCGAATTTGATCTATAATAATGTCTCCCTTACTGACGCCCAAATTGCGCACAAAAATGGATAATTTGGGAAGAGGAGATACGATTATTCGAGCCTTGCGGCTCGTTTTTATATACACTGGCACCCCAATCTATCAGGAAATCCATCCTACTAGTCTCAGTAACTGGTCCAAAATTTTGCTATCGATCTAGGTGGACCAGTTACCGAGTGAAAAAAATTCATTTTAGTGTTCTGTAGAGATGAAGTTATGACATGCCTTCAGACTCCCAAAAATCCGGAAAATGAATTCCACTAGTCTCAGTAACTGGTCCAAAATTTTGCTATCGACTTAGGGGGTCCAGTTACTGAGACTAGTGGAATTGTTTTTTTCTGGATTTTTCCAATCTGTCCAGAAAATGAATTCCACTAGTCTCAGTAACTGGTCCACCTAGCTCGATAGCAAAATTTTGGACCAGTTACTGAGACTAGTAGGATGGATTTCCGGATAGATTGGGATGCAAGTGTAGATCGATTTTTTGTAAATGTTATGATTACTCTTGCTAAAAATATCCCAGTTCCGCCCATTGGACACCGTTTTTTCGTTAATATCTCGCAAACGAAGCGGCAGACTGCATTTGCGCCAAGGAAAAAGTTACTTCAAATGATCTTCGGAATCTCTCATTTCTCGGAATTTCCCATAATTTCGGTGCACCCTGTACATCGTATAAACAGCATACGCTGTGTATACAGTAATGTCTCCCTAATCATGAACGCGTAAAATCGGCAGTCCGGTGATCGCGGCGCAGAGAATTAGTGCCACCGCTCTCAGACATTCGGCGTGCCGCGGGTTCGAGAATAATAAAACTGATCGATGCGAAGAGATAGCGAATGTGCAAAGCCGATAAGCGCGGAGATACGGTCCGCTCGTGAATGGAAGAAAGCGAGCCGGGGAAAGCAGGCTCGCCCCGACTTGCAGTCTGCGCCCGATCGAGTATTTAATGCGGAGCGATACCGTAAGCGGCGAGCGCAACATTCCTGACGATTTGTCGTCAAAGAGCGAAGGATACGGCTCCGTGGCCAGGAAATTATGCATGCAACGAGAAACGCCTATTCGCGGCTTTCTAAGAAGCTGACAAACGCGCACGTGTTGCATCGACCGATTCCACAATATGCAGGCTTACGTGCATTGGCACATGCGAAAAAGGCGAGCGGTTGCTATAGGTGTGCTGCGAGTGGGAAAGGGACGCAGAAAGAGAGAGAGAGAGAGAGAGAGAGAGAGAGAGAGAGAGAGGCGCATGGCTGTATGCAGTCGGCATGAGATCATCGAGCGCGCTCAGTGGAAACACTGACGTCAACAGTTTCGGCGGGTCTCGTTGCCCGCGAATGATCCCCGGCCGATACGATGATATCAGGAAGACTAATGCCGATCGTGCACGTGCAAATATTACTCGATCCTGTTTCATTAAACATCGCCGGCCCCGAGGAATAAACTAGCCGGGGTCTCCGCGCCTCGCGAAATAATTAAAGTCGCCGCGGATTTATCACGACAAGGATCCGCCGACGCGATTAGGCCAGCTAACTCTCTCGAGTCGATGCGAAATCGTCGGGGGTTG